AGAAGTCAGACTTTTTTGTCAAAGTATTTTAAGGTGTAAAAAGCTATACATGTATGTAAGCTATATATATATGTGTCACCTGTCTGCCACTGACAGATGTTTTGACTGCGAAACCCAACTAGATCACAAAACAGCATTTTTGCCTTGGAAGATTGGGAAGACCTTTAATTTTGAGTAATCCTCAGGGCTTTCAGACTTAAACTGTCCAGCTTTCAGAAATCACTGAACTGCAGATGGAGGGGTTTGACACATGCGCACGACCTCACAGTGAATTCACTGTGTTTTACATTCACTTTACGCCGGTGTTGTTTTATGGAAGTAGCATACGCAAACACAACATGTGACGTATTTAACAGCTCTAGCAGGCGTCCTCATATGCTGAATGTACAACCCCAAATCAGAAGGAAGTTGGGACAGCATGGAAAACGCAAATAATAAAAAAGTAGTGATTTTGAAATGTGCTTTGACTTGTATTTGATTGCAGAAAACACAACAAACATTATTTAATGTGTTCCTCATGACTTTTTATTTTTATTTAAAAAATAATCACGTATTCCAGTTTTGGTTCTTGCAAAACATTTAAAAGAAAGTTTAGAACAGACACCAAGTGATGATGTTTTTCAGGTGAAATTTTGTCTCATTTCTGTCTTGCAAACAAGTCTTACGGTGGGCAACAGTACGGGGTCTGTGTTGTCGCATTTTGCAATAGGAGACAGGTCAGGACTTCAGACAGGCCAGTCAACTACTTGAAGTCAACTACTTGCTGACGTTCAGATTTTCCAACTCGAACGATTTGCGTGATTCACGCATTAAGAGTGTCATTTGTGCAAAACGCTCAACTTGCGCCGTAGGATGTCTATTTACATCTTTGCATTGACTTCATATGTAAATCACTCGCGCTTGACGCTTCATCTGTGTCTCATAGAACGCACCATTATATTTCATGTATAGATGTATATGTAGATATACATCTATTTCATATTTGCTTCTGATTTTTTTGGTAAATTGCACGGAAACCAGCGGTTAATTTGGGCCCAAAACAATACAATTAACCACAGCCTTTCAAAGACATCACATTCTCCGTGTTATATTAGAAACAGACACAGAAAATAAGTTTTAAACCTAAATCAGAAATGATTTTTGAATAGTTTAGTTCAGTTTTGGTCCGTTCTTCATACATCATGGCTCCAGAAGGTTGGCAATGCAGTCATGCATGCTCTACTTTTATAATAATTTCGTAATATTTTTTTGAAAGCTCATCTGCATTATTCATTTATGTTCCAGTGAAAGAAACTCCTTGCTTAAATCATTCCTTTAAGAAGAAAGACGAAGATAAGATTCATTCCTATTCAGTTTTTTTGCTGCCATTATTTATTTATTTATTTATTTATTTATTTATTTATTTATTTATTTATTTATTTATTATTTTTGTATTGATTTATTAATTATTTTATCTATTTATTTATTTATTTATTTATTTATTTATTTATCTATTTATTTATTTATCTATTTATTTATTTATTTATCTATTTATTTATTTATTTATTTATTTATCTATTTATTTATTTATTTATTATTTTTGTATTAATTAATTAATTAATTAATTAATTTATGTATTTATTTATCTATTTATCTATTTATTTATTTATTTATTTTTATTTATTTTTTTATTTATTTATTTAATATGTCTGGATAATAATCAGTTTAAAAGGTTGTATAAATAAATATTATTAAAGGAATATAATGATGAAGGTGATTAAAAAAAGGATAAAATGAGAAAGGTATGATGAAATGGCTGTTTGCAGTACTATGTTTTTTCCCCTTTGGGTTTGTGTTACAAAATGTAAAGCTACAAATGAAATCAAACATGTAATTGGTCAAAGATACCAAAAGGATAAAAAATATTTAATGAAAAAGAAGACATAAGTAAAAGAAGATATAAGTTTAAGTAATAGAAGAATGATGTATGTGGTAATGGGGTGGGAAAATAATAATCCCACTCCATTTTCGACCATGTTGAAATGTATTTTTTGTTAAGGATATTTATTTATGATATTTTTGTTCGAAAATAAATAAATCAAAAATCAAAAAAAAGAAGTAAAACTTTAAAAGTGTTATTATTCAAAATATTTACAGAACACTCTTAGTATAGCTAATTAGAGTTATTAATTACACATACATATATCATACATAAAAAACACGCACACACATTTCTCTCTCTTTCTCTCTTTCTTTTTACAGAATTTACAAAAGCATCACCACAAACAGAGAAAGACTTGTTATTCTGGTTTTGTTTTACAAGAACTCATCCACATCCATAAAAATAAAACTGGTTTCAATCATATATATATATATATATATATATATATATATATATATATATATATATATATATATATATATATATATATATATATACGTAAATATGCTGTTACGATTCAGCATCGCAAACATCAGGCTTTACAGGAAATTAAGGGTAATCTAAAAAAATGTCTGCAAATATTTTCAGTTGTCAAACTGTAAACATGCTGAATTTACTAAATACCAAAACAAACAAACAAACAAACTGATATCACTTTAGTTTAAGTAACGATTCTCACTATTAACCACTGGCTTATTATCTGCATATGGAGATACCGGCTGTTTATATTAGTAGAGTTGAGGAAGAGTAAAACTAATACATTACAATCTTGAGTCACCTTTTTTTCTTCTAAAATAACCATTTTTGTTACGTTTTAAGGAAAGTAATTGTCATTTTTGCACATTTTGCATTATTTTTGCAAACCATTTTTATTTTTTTCGTCTTAGCTAGGCTTAAGATTGTAATGTATTACTTTTAAAGTAATTTTTCCCAACACTGTATATTAGTACTTATAAAGCACATATTCTGCATCTCTAATCATACACAATACCTAAATACAACTAACCTGACAATAGTCTCGTCGTGGATCATATTTGTATGAGCAGCAAATGATAACTTGACTTCTAGTTGATCAATTGGAAAAGGGGCAGAAGGTGGATTTTTCTGATGGATGATCTGTTGATCTGCATCCCAATCATCACAAATACTACAGAAGACCTACTGGAACCAGCATGGAGCCAAGATTCTCACAGAAATCAGTCAAGTTTGGTGAAGGAAAAATCATGGTTTGGGGTTACATTCAGTATGGGGGCGTGCGAGAGATCTACAGAGTGGATGATCAACATCAACAGCCTGAGGTATCAAGACATCTGTGCTGCCCATTACATTACAAACCACAGGAGAGGGACAATTCTCCAGCAGGATAGCGCTCCTGCTCATACTTCAGCCTCCACATCAAAGTTCCTGAAAGCAAAGAAGGTCAAGGTGCTCCAGGATTGGCCAGCCCAGTCACCAGATATGAACATTATTGAGCATGTCTGGGGGAAGATGGACAAGACAAAGAATCTTGATGAACTCTGGGAGTCCTGCACGGATTTCTTCTTCATTCCAGATGACTTTATTAATCAGTGATGTGAGTCATGTCAGAGATGTATGGATGCAGTCCTCCAAGCTCATGATGGAGTCAGACACAATATTCATTCTGTCTCCACTGCAGCAGGACTTTATATTCTATACTGGACATTATTTCTGTTCAGTGATGAGACTTTAGTCTAAGCAAAATCAGACCTTACTGTCCTAATTACATAATTAAAAATCAAGGCATGATCATATTTTATTGTGCTCAAATAAGTGTAATCAAGAGGCCTTTGCCTTTCATATAAGCCACTTCTGATGCCAAATTATCAACTAGAAGTCAACTTATTATTTGTTGTTTTTAAAACTTGACAGGGAACAAGACTTTTGTCTAGTAGTGTACCTATAAATATAAATAAGCAGCACATTAGGAGTTTATTGATGCAAGAGTCCTAGTGCATGGTTTATTAATAATAAGAACTGTACTTTAAAGTAAAGTTTGACCAAAGATCCTCTTTAAATCGTTGTTTCAGCATGGCAGAAGTTCATGTGAATGAGAAAACCGTTTCATTTGAAAACATTTTTGACACATTTATGAAAGCAGTTATGTGTCGAAATTCACATGCAGTTGAAGTCAGAATTATTAGCCCCCTTTTTATTATTTTAAAAATATTTTTTCTAATATTTCCCAAATTATGTTTAACAGAGCAAGGAAATTTTCACAGTATGTCTGATAATATTTTTTCTTCTGCAGAAAGTCTGATTTGTTTTATTTCGGCTAGAATAAAAGCAGTTTGAATTTTTTAAACACCATTTTAAGGTCAATATTTTTAGCCCCTTTAAACTATATGTTTTTCCACTAGTCTACAGAACAAACCATCGTTATACAATAACTTGCCTAATAACCCTAGATAACCTAAATAACCTAGCTAAGCCTTTAAATGTCACTTTAAGCTGTATAGAAGTGTCTTGAAGAATATCTAGTCAAATATTATTTACTGTCATCATGACAAAGATAAAATAAAGATTATTAACTCATTATTACTCAATACTCATCTCATTATTAGAGATGAGTTATTAAAACTATTATGATTAGAAATGTGTAAATCTGCTCTCCGTTAAACAGAAATTGGAGAAAAAAATAAACGGGGGGGGGCGAAAAATTCTGACTTCAACTGTACGTGCACATCTCCTGTTTTAAGGGATAGTTCACCCCAAAATTCAATTTGCTCGCTTTTTTACTTTCCCTCAAGTGCTTTATAAAACCTATTCGAGTTTCCTTATTCTACACCAGTGGTGCTCAACCCTGTTCCTGGAGATCGACCTTCCTGCACAGTTCAGCTCCAACCTGATCCATTATTTAGGACCTGAACTGCACTTGATAATTACAGGCAGGTGTGTTTAATACGGGTTGCAACTGAAATCTGCAGGAAGGTCTATCTCCAGGAACCGGGTTGGTCACGCCTGTTCTACACAATATGTTGAAGACAGCTGGAAACATTGATCGACATAGCACTATTGAAGTCAATGGAAATAGTTCTCCAGCATTTTTCAAAGTATTTTCTTTTGCGTTCTACAGGATAAAGAAACTTCTGAAGGTTTGAAACTAGTAAAAGGTGAGTAAATGATGATTGTTCATTTTAGGGTGAACTGTCCCTTTAAATCTGATCAAGCCAAGTTTTCCATTCTTACACTCTTTACGACAAATATAAAGTTGGATGTTATAATGAAAGCCAGATCATCTACTAAAATACAAACCAAACAGAATAAACACACCGGCTTGAACTCTCTGAGTAAATGAATGCCGTCTCCACATTTTCCACATTCTTCTGCGGCCGTCCTGAGCACCTCAGTTCACCGCAGAGAAATAACCGAGGTGAACAGATGTTCCTGTCAGAAGTGTGTTTCTACTCTGTCATCTCGAAATGTCTTCTGCTGTGTAAGAATGTTAGAAAGGACCCGTCCTAAATGTGCTGCTGACCTAGAAAACTGCAGGTTAACAAACTACAGAGACTGAAAAAAAAAGCTTCAGTTTGTTATTCTCATTTCCACCTCGCCGGAGTCCTCCAGGAAAAGCTGTGTGTGGGTGTGTTTTAGAAAGTGTGTGTGTGTGTGTTTAGACCAGTTCCACTTTAGAGTTGGGATAAACGGCCACTACGTCGTAGCCCTCAGGAGGCTGGACGCGGGCCTTGGCGTGGGTCTCACAATACAGATTGTCATCGATGAAGAAATATCCTCTCTGCTTCAGGTTGAGGCCGCAGTCGTCACACATGAAGCAGTCGGGGTGGTAGAGCTTGTCTCGGGCCTTCACGATGACTCCCCTGTGTCAACACAAACATTAAAGGGCTTTTAGAGTCTGCGTGAGCCGGAAGCTGTGCTTTATTTTCATATTGTGTTGCAGTTCCTTGAGAAACGGAATGTTAAATGAGAAAACAGTGGGCGTGGCTTGTTTTTTCTACTGCGAGCTGATTGGATGTAGTAAAGTAGGCATTTCATTCAGAAAGATGTGGAACAGGGTTTGGGAAAAGTTATTTGTAACGGAGCAAAGAAGTGTGTTAAATTAATGCCTAAGTGGGGACAGCGCCCTCTAGAGTGTGCGTGGTGTAATAAGCGCGTGGAGTAGAGATCGCCCACATCAGAGTTACCGTAGCATTGCTGTGGGTAAGTCGCGCGTCGCATGTGGAAAATGACCATTAATAAGTGTTTAAAGCACATAAATATTAGCTTTAATGTGACTAAATGTTTCAATGAATATGTTGGGACACTGTTGAGTTGTGTTTGGCGTCGACTGTGTTACTCAATCTTGAGTTTATAACGTGTTTATATAACGAGGCCTGATTGTAATCAATTTGTCTTGTGTTTCATATAGAAGTGGTCATTTTCTTTACGAACCAGCAACTATTTGCACGCGCTGTCTGTCTCCATTGTACAGGTATGTGTTAAATGTTATTCATTAATTGTTTGTAATTCTTTTTTTATTTCTCATTCAAAACGAGTTGCTAAAAGTCTCCACTAGGTGGGGAAGTTTCCTTACTTTTGGAGTTGAATTGTATCGCTCTGTGTTACTCAGTGATTGTACATTGAGAATTGTGATTCAGTGATTTGTCATATAAAATTCAAAGTGTGTTATGTTTTTCATATTCAACCTGTTGAAATTTACACTATACGATCACAAAATTAAAAATAATTCATTGGTATATAAAAAAGAAGAAAAAAAATGTATAAAACAGAGCAGAGTTACCGAAGCTTTGCTGTGGAAGTGGTTATTCTCTATGGATAGTTTCCATTGTACATTGTACAAAAGACAGCCCAGGCTAGACTGTCACATTGGTGCCGTGACCCGGAATGGAAGTGAGGTTTAGGGGGGTGAGTGTAGCAGAGGCCAGCTAGTAAGTGCTGTGCAGGTAAACCTCACTCCTCTGACCTCTAAAGGTGCTCAAGCGACAGACGCTAGAGGCCATGGTCTTTAGCCTTCTTGATAGAGCAACCAACCCCCATGCGGAAGGGAGCGGGTTGGATGGTGTAGGACCGGCGGGTTTACATTAGTGCCGTGACCCGGATAGGAATAAGGTTTAGGAGGTGAGTTTGACGGAAGCCAGCTAGTGAAGTGCTGTGCAGGTAAACCTCACTCCTCTAATATGTGCACTTGCGACAGTCACTAGAGGCCATGGTCTTTAGCCTCCTTGTTAGAGCAACTGAGTCCCATGCGGAAGGTTGCCGGTTCGATCCCAGCTTGGAGCGGATTGGGTGCAGTAAGACTGACAGGGTTACATATAACACACCTTACACCTCAGATAGACCTAATCTGACAATTTAACTGAAATTAAACAGGCAGTGCATTTTCAGATTAAGATTTTAGATTACAAGGGCAAACTGACCCGAGCCTACATACAAAGCACAAAGATACAGCTCTGGACAAATTTCATGTGAAGGTGATGGTTGATTGGATTTATCACTAATCCATTTCCTGTTATCAATCTCTATGATCAGGTTCATATTTGTAGGCTGTGATATCTGTCGAAACCTGTACAATGAGCACACTGTTTCAGTGTAACTTTACCACATGACCTCAGCGTTTGCTCATCCGCCGGTGGGAAAGTGCCAGGAGTGACTTACAGTAATATCTGATCACATGTGCTGAGGGAGAAAGCACAGGCCGCTGCAGGTCTGCCTTTGTTTAAAGTCTAAATGAAATCAAAATGTGCTCTTATTTTTATACATGTGTCGGTGCACTTCATTATTTTGTACAAAAAAATTATTTGACCTCAGAATATATTATCAAATATACTAAACTTCTCTCCCCCGCGAAACAACTTCACTTCTGGTCACATGGAGTGCCTTTAAGGCGGAGCTATCAGTAATTTAGGGCGGGGCTGTTAGTCCTTTAGGGTGGTGCTATCAGTAATTTAGTACAGGGATATCATTAATTTAGTGTGGGGCTATCAGTAATTTAAGACAGGGATATCCTTAATTTAGGGTGGGACTATGAGTAATTTATGGCAGGGCTATCAGTCCTTTAGGGCACAGCTATTAGGAATTTAGGGCGGGGCAATCAGTTCTTTAGGGCAGGGCCATCAGGAATTTAGGGCGGGGCTACCAGTTCTTTAGGGCAGGGCTATCAAGAATTCAGGGCAGGGCTATCAGTTCTTTAGGGCAGGGCTAACAGTAATTTAGGGTGGAGCTATCAGTCCTTTTGGGCTGGGCTACCAGTAATTTAGGAAGGGGCTACCAGTTCTCTTTAGGGCTAAGCTATCAGTAATTTAGGGTGAAGCTTTCAGTTCTTTAGGATGGGTTTATCAGTCCTTTAGGGTGGAGTTGTCATTCCTTTAGGGTAGGGCTACCAGTTCTTTAGGGCAGGGCTATCAGGAATTTAGGGCGGGGCTACCAGTTCTTTAGGGCAGGGGTAACAGGAATTCAGAGCTGGGCTATCAGTTCTTTAGGGCAGGGCTATCAGTAATTTTGGGTGGAGCTATCAGTCCTTTTGGGCTGGGCTACTAGTAATTTAAGACAGGGCTATCAGTGTTTTAGGGCAGAGCTGTGAGTAATTTAGGGTGAAGCTTTCAGTCCTTTAGGATGTGTTTATCAGTTCTTTAGGGTGGAGTTGTCAGTCCATTTGGGCAGGCCTGTCAATCCTTTAGGGTGGAGCTATCAGTCCTTTAGGGCAGGGCTATGAGTAATTTAGGGCAGGGCTATTAGTAATTTAGGGCAGGGCTATCAGTCTTTAGGGCAGGGCCATCAGTCCTTTAGGGTGGAGTTATCAGTTCTTTAGGGTGGAGTTAATAGTTCTTTAGGCTAGGGCTATCACTTATTTAGGGCTTGGCTATCAGTCCTTTAAGGCAGGACTATAGGTCCTTTAGGGCGGGGCTAACAGTCCTTTAGGGCAGGGGTATCAGTCCTTTTGGGTGAAGCTATCAGTGATTTAGGCTGGGGCTCAAACAGGTTTGGATCCAGTGTAGGATGAGTAAATGATAACAGAATATTTCTGTACCTGTAAATCTCTAGTATCTCCAGATTTTTTTTTGTCTTTGAATTTTCAGCTCAAAATATTAGATGTCAGGATTATTTATTTATTAATCAATTTTTCTGAGCTTGGTAAATTTGCCCCTTTTTTGGTATTGTGTGTGTATATCTCTTTAAATGCAAATGAGCTGCTGCTTTCTAGAAGAGGGTGGATCCTTTGGATGCTTTTTTTCAAAGCCTAATAAAGGCCAGTCTGCAACCTTAAGCCAAGCTTAATGGCTAATGCTAACGCTGCCTTCATGGGGCTCAGAAAATCAGCACAGTGCGTTTTTCAATATTATTGCATAAAAAAAAGTCTTATCAAAGCAACAGGTACTGTTGTTTCTGTTTTGGTAGAAAAAGACTTTAATGTTCACTTGTGGACTATCTCTTAGCAAATATCACCATTCATCCGACAGGAGCTGTTGAGTACCTGATTGGATTCTGATTATAAAGCTTGCAGTTATTCTCAGTTAAACACAGTTAAAGTTGTTCAGGCAGGCTCCGCTACGCTGAATAATTTCAGTTATTTCACAGCTACAACAGTCAAAAACCACATCAAAACACAACAGAGGGCTTCGGATGAGGTGTGGAAGAAACTAGTGCTACACACAGGAGCAGTTTAAGGACAAAAACCTGACAACTGTCTGAAATACAACATCTGAACAGTGACTTTAGCTGTGGGAATCGTAGTATAGGCAGAATAATGGACTGCGGCCACTGAATTATTAGTGAAATAACACGCACCACCTCTGAGGTGCATTATTTCCTTATAATTCAATGACCTGCCATCATTTATTCCGTACATATGCATTAAGTCATTAAATAGAACTGCATAACACTTACACAATGCCGTTTGCGCAGCGTGTGCACTGAGGAAGGTTCTGTAGGCCAGGAATGGGTGCCAGAGGGGCTGTAATAGGGCTGCCCAGCTTCGGCACGGGTGATTTAACAGGGGAACGCAAGCCTCTGACCCCAGATCTGTCCACCGGCGAGACTCCTGAGAGAAAAAGGGAACATAATATTACAGTGTTACACATATTGAGCTTATTCTGCCATGTGAAAGTGCGCTTATTTCTGCGATTGTTATATGACATAAATCTGGCACAGCAGGCATTCATCCAGCACTGGTTTGGCACTGTATTTAGGGTGGCACACAATACTTGGGCCAGATGTAAAGTGTAGTATTTGGCCCAGATATTAATAATTGATATGTGAGCCATGTAAGTTCGACCCTTTTTTGACCCACATTAAAAATATATTTTTATTATTTTCAAATAAAATAAAAAATTCTACTAATCATGTCGCTTTACAAAAAGCACACCCATAGCATACCTAAAGCGCAATGATTAATGGATTTATCAGTTTCCCCACATAGCAAATGTTTTCTGGCCCAGCTCTGGGCCACACAATAACTTTTCCCTTTGCTCAAGTACCACAAAGAATGACGATCATGAACTGGCTTATAACTAGATTAAAGACAAGGGCCACACATAATGGGCCATAACTGGCCCGAATCTGAGCCAATTTATCACCCTTACTGGCCCTGAACTGGGCCAAAACAGGTTTATTATTGGTTCCGATTCTCAGCTATAAGTTTATACTTTAACCAGAAACCCCAAAAACTGAGCCATAATCCAGCCTAACGTTACCTGATGTGAACAATCGCTACACTGATCTGGGCCACACACCTACCTTCCACAACTGGCCCAAATGTAGTTTGCCGTCATGCATGCAGTGCCATCATTGCCATGCGTGGCCCACATTCAGCTGACATTATGCATGCCAGTGCCGGCAACAAGCCAGCGGTGCCATAATGAGGCCACATTTGGGCCAGGTCTGTTCGCTATGTGGGTCACTGCAGTCGTGACACATCCACATAACTGGCCCAATTCAGGCTCAGTTATAGATTATTAACTTGGCTGAGACTCGGCCCAGATGTGGTCCATGTTTGGCTCTTGTCTGGAAGCCAGACTTGGTCCAGTCATGTACCGTAATTCACTGCAGCAAAAAAGCTGATCGTGTGGGCCAGAGCGGGGCCAGAGATATTTTGCTATGTGGGTCAGGGGTCAACAATAAGGACTGCCCGGTGGCCCGGGGCCAGTGTGAAAGACGCTCGGGACCGTATAGAGGATTGTTACTGGCCTCTATTGGTCAGTAATGATGAGCACGTTATTTTTTTTGGTTACCTGGTGACAACCAGGGGTCCGTTCTTCGTACCTCGCTTAAATGATCTAAGATGATTTGGCAGATCCCGGATCTTTTAATCTTGATAACTGATCTCCGGCTAATTTGGTTTTTCAAACAAGTTCCCGAATCAGATTAGAATGTCTGGATAAACTGATCTGAGATCGCTGCGTGTGTTATGAAGGACAGATCTATCGATCCTCGAAATCATGATCAGCAATGCAACGATTGGCTGACGGCACAGCAGCGTAATGACATCATCTGATTAATAATCAATTATCCATGTGAGCAAAATTACATCAAATTAGCAGTAAACGGTTTGTTAAATATGACACGCAATAACCTTCCACATTTGTTGTGAGCTGCAGGCTTTACACTTTCATGTGTCAAGTGTATTCATCATGTATTTCAATGCAAATCAGTGTATTTAGTTCTACATTTAGAAAAAGATTTTCTTTATTACTGTAGCCGTTTTTTTAATCTGTGTAAAGAATAACTGGTTGTTTACAAAAGCAGTTTTATATTGGTAAAGGCATCTGCAACTTTGTGAAGCATCAAATCACCGGCATATTAACTATCAAAACATGTTTTAATAAAAGTCACATATTCTGCATTTCTATTATACACAATTTGTACTAAAGCGATCTAAAAAGTTCATATCAATAAGTTTTCTCTTTGCACCACCAGGTGGCAGTCTTTGTACTTTCATTTCGAGGGTGCAGATTGCATAACTATAACTTTATATATATATATATATATATATATATATATATATATATATATATATAAGTATAGTTAAAAATATGTACCATTTTCCCAAGTGTATATAACTACTACTGTAAGAAAATATCAGAATTCGTAACATACTTTCTGTATTATCTTTGCTTGAACTGAGCCGATCTAATCCTGTTTATATGAATTGAACCTGCTCCCGATCAGGTTTGACCTAGCAGAACCGTTGCTATGACAACAACTCTCGGATCAGCTTTGACGAACGAAACAATCCTGGATCGTGTAAAAACTCAATATCCAAATATCCAATATCCAAAATCCAAATCCAGCTAACTGAGTAATCCACGTACGAAGAACGGACCCCAGTACAGTGAAAAGATGACAACATGGCGGCAACATCATATGAGGCTAAAAGAAAGCGTCTGTTTCCAAAGTCTAGGAAGCAAAAAATAACATGGGTTCAAAATTAAGAAAAAAAAGTTGTTGTCAATTTGGCAATCCACAATTTAGAATTGCAATAAAATAGCAGCGCATTTTCTATTCTGCTCTTTCGTTTGCATAAAATATTGAATTTTGCTCATTATACATTTATTAACATCTTTAAAATGCTTAACTTTTTAGATTCACAGACATTGTTTTGCCACGTTATTTAAAATATGTGGCTTAGAAATAGCTATTAACTTTTTATTTTTTTGGTGGGGGCAGTGAAAACTTTGACAGGGCAAGTAAAAATATCAACCACTGGCCTGATCAGCCCAGTAGAAAAAATCCTTAGCTATGAACCCTGAATATATTCAAACACATGCTTGTTTGTTGTAAAAACTTGTAATAATATCAAAAAATACTAATACAAAATACTAGTCCTGGTGTATTCTGGGAAATTTTTATACCACTTGGTTTTGAGTTCGGTCCTGAAAAATCTATCCCTTCCCCTTAGCCCTACGCCTTCAAGCTAAAGAGAATTGACGCACCCCAACCCCTTCACGTGAACGCGCAAAAGGGAAGGATAAAGGGCGGAGAGGTAGAATAAGGATTGAGCCTAAATCTCATTCCACGCAGAACAACCACACTTACACAATCATGCCTAAAACAGCTTTAAAAGGAGTAAATATTGAGCTAAATCTAGGCTTAAACAGCTACTCCCGTCTTTCCGAGAGCCCCTGTTTAACCCCAAACACAGAAATCTCCTCAAAAGTGTGCTTAGCAGCTGTTTCTGGAAATAATATCCTTCACACTTCTCCGTGAAGCCGTAGCTGATATCACGGGTGTGTGTTAGCTTGAAGGCACGGCTGGGGCTTAGCCATATAGACAAGTACACTGAAACATTCATTGAATTTACTTAATTTATTTTAAGATGAGTGGTTGCAAATATGTCCCGATCAGGTTTTTTTACCCTTGAGTCTGAGTCAGTGGATTTTGAGTATCTACCGATACTCGATCTGATAGTCTGCATGCAGACCCGGGGATTAAGGGAGAAATCCTCATTTAGTGTTTATATGAACACAATTATCTTTATAATGATATAAATTGTGGTTGTGTATATGACATTACGGATAACAAATGCAGCAGGGCATTAAATTACTGTTTATTTCTTTGCATTTTAACTTTGTAAACTATAAAATCATGCCTCTCCTCATGGTTTGTTGGCCACGCCCACTCCTGCCCTTTGCTCACAGAGCTCCGCCTATTATCATGCATCTTTTTAAACAAGTTCTGAGGTAGAACTAAACCGAAAGTGGGGGGTGTCATAACCCTTTAAACACCATTTGGGAAATATATATATAAAAAAATAAATATTTTGACGTCCACTTTAAACTGTTTGCAACCCGTTACCTTAAAAATATTGAGTCAGTCCAATGAATCATTTTTTTTCAGTGTATGAAGCACAGCTGTCAAAAACTCTTCTCTATGTAATGCTGTGTCTAAAACCAAACCGGCGTAGCATGAGCTCAGCGGAGAAAATCACTGACTGCTGGATGAGGAAACATCCGGATATTAATGGTAAGTGTTACAATGGTGCCCGCCTCCGTCATCCGACTGTTGTTGTGCCAAAGTGAGATCATTAACTCCGCGTTATTCCCAAAGACTGCTGGGACAGGTTACAACTCCCAACCTGTCAACCAATACCACTAATTACACATTTAAGCACTTGATCCCTGATCCCCGCGGCTCCATGGGGCTTTAATTCAGCGTGCGAGAGATGCTATACTGAAGTCTGCAACCCTCCCTATGGGATCTGGCTTAGACAAAACACATTTTACGGCTTATGTGACACAAAGCACAACGTTCTGCTGGGGCTTTAAGTCTACAGAGCCATCTGGAATCCAAACGAATGCAGAATCCTGGGCAGTACATTTACTGAATGCTGTATTTTTTTTTTTTTTTTTGTGTTGTACAATGTTGGGCACGTTCCTATAAAAGAGTTATTATGGGGGCTTGTGAAAGCAACATACGGTTATACTAAAAAAAACTTCTTCTTGTTCCATCTTTTTCTTCTGAGACTATTTTAGGAACGCATCTCCTCCTAGACCGTTCATACTACAACTACCAAACTAACTCCAAACCTTCAAACTAAACTGAATTAAGTTGCTATATCTTTTCCAACTGATCCGACTTACGGTTTTCCCAAAACTGACCCGGAAAATTCTAAAACCTCCCATTGACTTAACATTGGACCAAACTTTGTGACCTCAAAACTTTGTGCCAGACTGTCATAGAGACTTAAGGTTACACATATTTAACTCAGACTATTAATCTGCCAATCCCTGATGACCGTTCAACTTACTGGCCACACCCTAGCAACCACTTACAGCACCCAAGCAACTGTCCCATAGACTTCCATTGTAAAAAAATCTGCCCTTGACTTTACATTGGACACACTAGCAACATACCAATTCATACTGTCAACATACTAGAAACATAGTAACAAACATAGCAACATTTAATAATTAATGCTAAAAACAGGTTAGCAACATGCTAATACTAGAACTATTATCATTTATGCTTACAACTGCCTAGCAACCACTCAGAACACCTCAGCAACCACCTAGCAACACCTAGCATCCACTCATAACACCTTAGTTACCGCCTAGCAAGACCTTAGTAACCACAAAGTAACCGCCTAGTAACGCCTTAACAAGCAACTACAACAAGATGGCAACCACCTAGCAATGCATAGCAATCACTTGGAACACCCTAGCAACTTTCTTAGCAACACCAGCAATCCCTTAGCAAACCACTCAGAACAACCTAGCAACCCCTTAGCAACCACTCAGAACATCTAGCAACCACCTAATAATGCCATTGCAACCATTCAGAACACCCTAGCAAATGCCTAGCAATGCATTAGTAATCACTTAGAACACCCAAGCAACACCTTAGCAACCGTCTAGCAAACACTTAGAATACCTTAGCTACTGCCTAGCAACACCTTAGCAACCTCTAAGCAACATCTCAGAAACCTCGTAGCAACACCTTAGCAACCACATAGCAGAGCTTTAGCGAACTTAGCAACACCCTAACAACTACCTGGAACACCCTAGCAACTGCTTAGCAATGCCTTAATCCATCAAAATACCCTAGCGATGCCTTAGCCACAGTCTAGCAATCACTCAGAACACCCTAGCAACCGCCTAGCAACAACTTAGCAACCACTCAACACCCTAGCAGCGCCTTAGCAACCATTCAGAACACAATATCAGTGCCTTGGCAACCATTCAGAACACCCTAGCAGCGCCTTAGCAACCACTCATGCTAGCAAACAGGCCAATTTATGCTAAAACATGCTAGCATGATGCTATTTCATACTAGCAACTGCCTAGCAACCACTCAGAACACCTTAGCAACTGCCTAGCAACACCTTAGCAATCACCTAGCAACACCTTAGAAACTACCTAGGAATGCCTTAGCAGCTGCCTTGCAACCACTCAGAACACCCTAGCAACACCTTAGCTACCACCTAGCAACGCCTTAGCAACCACTCAGAACACCATAGAAACCACCTAGCAACACATCAGCAACCACATAGCAACACATTAGCAACCATTTAGCAAAAGTTAGCAACTGAGTTACAAAATTATACTAATTACCAGGGAGAGTAACTATTGCGCTACTTTAAAACAAATCTAATTTGTCAAATACTAACAACATATCATTCCATACTAACAATATACCGATCCATACTAAAACATAATAACTAACATACTAATCATACTAGCAAACATAAAGTGTGTGTGTGTCCATAGAGTTTTTAATTGGTGAATGTCATGATCTAGTGTTGTATCTAATCAGTGCGCGTTCGCTCGTTTATGACTTAAACGTGTGGCTTTGGACGGCAGAAGAGGATTGTAAAATTTCTAAGCTATTATGCTAATGCTAGCAATCTGGCAGATCACCTACTGCACCTTTAACTCAACAAAATATTGTTGCTGATAATAAACAATTATAATTGTCTCATGATATGTTGTCCTGGAAATGTCATGACAAAGACATGTTATAATGTGTTTATGTCAAGTTGTCATAATGTAAACATCTCAAACAATGTCACCTTTGAATTTAAAATAACATAACTGAGCTAATGACACTTAATGACAGCTGTCATAAGCATGCATAAAATATTCATGCTAAGAGTTTCATGAATATAAATGTTTCATGACCGTCTTATAAACTCTCCTTTCAAGTAAAGTGTTACCATAAATGTAAAATTGATGTATAATCCCAAATGTTTACTAAAAATACAAGTACATAATTCAACAATAACACTGTTCTACTGCTTCTTGGATATTTAAATAAGAAAAAATTGACAAATTGTGCCTTTAAATCAAACAGAGAAATTGGAAAAACAGGACACCACTGAGAATTCTGACATTTATACTGAACGTGAAGTAAATAAGTGACTCTGACCCCCATCCTCAGCTTCCAGGATTCCCTGCAGGTATTTAAAGGAGCCGGATTGTTTGGGAGCTGAAACCGGTTCCTCATAGTCCAGGAGCATCCTGTAGACGTCAGACTGTGTGTCGAAACCGTTGCGGTTGCCTGATGAATTCACTGGCGGCTCAGGGCTAAAACTAAAGCAAAAAAAAACCCTATGAAACATCTGCTATTGTCAAGCTTTATCCAACCAAACACTTTTCAACGCAACAAGTTTTTTATAAAAGCGTCAAGTACATCTCTGAAGGAATGAAGATGTTTTAAAACTCAAATCCAACACGTTTTTGTTTATCAAATACTTCCTGTAAAATGTCTTGAAACAGTAAAGCTTAACATTAATATTGTAATACTAAACTTGCCACTGCTATGGTCAGAATTTAATTAATTACCTTGTTTGTTTAGTCTTAAAATTGCAGCTTAACAGTTAATGAAATTGAATTTAAGTAGTTTCACGGCTTTTAGGTTTGAGGAGTTCCCATCAAGATATTTTGTATTAAATATCTGTCTAATAGATGTCTAAAAGCTGTTGTCTATTAGATGTCTAAAATATGTTGTCTAAAAGATGTTTAAAAGATGTGGTCTAATAGATGTCTAAAAGCTGTTGTCTAATAGATGTCTAAAGGATGTTGTCTAAAAGATGTTTAAAAGATGTTGTCTAATAGATGTCTAAAAGCTGTTGTCTATTAGATGTCTAAAAGATGTCTAATAGATGTCTAAAAGATGTTGTCTAATAGATGTCTAAAAGCTGTTGTCTATTAGATGTCTAAAAGATGTTGTCTAATAGATGTCTAAAAGCTGTTGTCTATTAGATGTCTAAAAGATGTCTAATAGATGTCTAAAAGATGTTGTCTAATAGATGTCTAAAATATGTCTGAAAAATGTCTAAAAGATGTTGTCTAAAGATGTTTAATAGATTTCTAAAAGATGTTGTCTAATAGATGTCCAAAAGCTGTTGTCTAATAGATGTCTAAAGGCTGTTGTCTAAAAGATGTTTAAAAGCTGTTGTCTATTAGATGTCTAAAAGATGTCTAATAGATGTCTAAAAGATGTTGTCTAATAGATGTCTAAAAGCTGTTGTCTATTAGATGTCTAAAAGATGTTGTCTAATAGATGTCTAAAAGCTGTTGTCTATTAGATGTCTAAAAGATGTCTAATAGATGTCTAAAAGCTGTTGTCTAATAGATGTCTAATAGATGTCTAAAAGCTGTTGTCTAATAGATGTCTAAAGATGTTTAATAGATTTCTTAAAGATGTTGTCTAATAGATGTCTAAAAGATGTCTGAAAAATGTCTAAAAGATGTTGTCTAAAGATGTTTAATAGATTTCTAAAAGATGTTGTCTAATAGATGTCCAAAAGATGTTGTCTAAAAGATGTTTAAAAGCTGTTGTCTAATAGATGTCTAAAAGATGTTGTCTAATAGATGTCTAAAAGTTGTTGTCTAATAGATGTCTAAAAGCTGTTGTCTAATAGATGTCTAAAAGCTGTTGTCTAATATATGTCTAAAAGATGTCTGATAAATGTCTAAACGATGTTGTCTTATAGATGTCTGAAAGATGTTGTCTAATATAAAATATGATGTCTAACAAAAGTCCAAAACCAGATTTCACATGTCATTTATTCATGTCTATTTGATATTCATGCTCTATTTGAGTCTATTTTAGGACTAATTTCAGGTTTTAGATGTCTTCTAGATTATCAATGACAGCTCAAATCTAGTCTTGTTTTAGCCAAGAGTTTCCATAAGAGTGATCGGTGATCTAGTGTAAGTATTAGAAGAATTCATAAACAGTGGATTTGTCATCTTCACTGTAAACAGCAGGCTTTACAAATCAACCAAACGGTTCTCGATCACTCTTATCTAACACACTAACACCGCAGATGTTGCCTAAAGACTGTTCACTTTATCCAGTCACCGTACTGTGTTTGGGTTAGAATTGATTAGCATGAACTCCTTTTTCTGCATAGCAGCAGGCTTGAAGAGCTGTAACATCTTTGAGTCTGAAATGTTTATTGTGCTGTGAGTGAAGACAGGACCTGCGCGCTGGAGATTTCCATCATGGGAAAGATCCTCCAGATCGCTTCCTTGATAAATCACCGTGTTTCTCACAGCCGTGTGAGTATCATAAATATCCCTTTCTGGCAGCTGTTCCCTTGCAAAACCGGTGTTTGGCTAGATGTTTGTGTACAGTTAACATGAAATCAGAAATGACCTTATTTACCTTGCGCTCTACTTCTGCTTTAAAAGAAATGTGTTTGTCCTGATTTTGTGCTTGTGTTAATTAGCGATGGGAGAAATGAAGCATTCGAAAACAGGCCAACAAGAGACTCATTACAACGTCTAAAACACCTAAAACTGAACCCAGACCAGGTAAAAAACCTGTTCAGCGATTTGGGGTGATCTCAATCTTCATTGATTGCATACTCCACCAGTAAGAGCAGAGTGAACAGCACCCTTCTGCTTAAAATATTGCAATGCACACAACATTATGTGTAACAGAGTTCAAGAGGATAAATTGTTGGTGTGCATCTGTGATCACTACAGCAAGTCTTTGTGATTGTCAAAAGCTGCGGTATCTAGGCGAATGCCAGCAAACCACCAAAAAGCAGAACCACATCCAACAGGAGTAACTGCGAGCGCAGAAGGAAGCTGTCTGAAAGGGATGTCCGGGTGTGAACCTCGATTCTATGAAAAAACATAAAACCACAGCTGACCAACTCACTGCAGAATTAAATGTGCACCTCAACTCTCAAGTTTCCACCAATACTGTTGGTCTGGATCTCCACAGATCGGGCTGCTATAGCTAAATCTTTGGTCACTTGTGCCAATGTCAAACATTGGTTTCAATAGCCGCGTTTCCATTGACGCGCCTAAAGCGAGTGAGCAAGTGCAAGCTAGGGCCAGTCGTGTTTCCACAGTCACTTCCCTGGCCTTGGGGACAGCGACTGACCTTTTTCGACCCACCGAATACCTTCGGCCAAATCAAGCCAGCTGGGGCTTCAGGGCGGAGTGAAAGCAGAGGCAAAGTTCTTAAAACTGATGTACGCAAGCGCAACTATATAGGCTAGCCTATTTTTTATTACTTGTTCTTATGGCCTGAAACACTTGACGATTTCTTACAAAAACCAAATAATATGCAACACCAATACTGTTGGTCTGGATCTCCACAGGTCGGGCTGCTATAGCTAAACCTTTGGTCATTTGTGCCAATGACAAACATTGGTTTCAATAGCCGCGTTTCCATTATCGCGCCTAAATCAAGTGAGCAAGTGCAAGCTAGGGCCAGTCGTGTTTCCACAGTCACTTCCCTGGCCTGATTGGGCCAAAGCGGGGCTTCCTTGGGGACAGCGGCTAGTCTTTTTCGGCCCACCGAATACTTTCGGCCAAAGCGAGCCAGCTGGGGCTGCAGGGCGGAGTGAAAGCAGAGGCAAAGTTCTTAAAACTGATGTACGCAAGCGCAACTATATAGGCTAGCCCAGGGGTGTCCAAACTCGGTCCTGGAGGGCCGGTGTACTGCAGATTTTAACTCCAACTTGCCTCAACACACCTGCAAGGATGCTTCTGGAAAGCCTAGTAAGAGCTTGATTAGCTAGCCAAGGTGTGTCGGATTGGGGTTGGAACTAAACTTTGCAGGACACCGGCCCTCCAGGACCGATTTTGGACATGCTTGGGCTAGCCTATATTTTATTACTTGTTCTTATGGCCCGAAACACTTGACGGTTTCTTAAGATAACCAAGTAATTTGCAACACTCTCAAATAATTCCCTAGGAATTACCTAAAATAGGGAAAAATGTATATGTTTAAGGACTCTCTGCAGACTGTTTGACGGCATCTACAGAAACAAAGATGTTATAAAATACATTTTTTTTATACAGAGTTATTATCAGAGAAGTTCTGTGGTTTTATATTATGGATGGAGTGCTGGGTTATCCCTCCATTTTTGATGAGACCACTCGATGTACGATGCCAACAGTTGGTCGTCAAGTAAACAAATATAATCTATATGCGTATACACATATAATGTAATGCTGTACAAAAACGTGTAATTTCGGATGTCTCCTTTTTAATCATGTCATGATGCAATGCTGTGCTTTATCAGCCTGATTCTGATTTGACTTTCTTTTTCCCGCTGAACTGGGTGGGTTGTGTGACGGGTTGTGGCCTGACAGTGGAAACGCAACATGATTTCGGCCTCTCAAGCTACTGGCCTAGCCCCATCCAAGAAAAGGCCTAGCTTGCACTGGCCCGACAGTGGAAATGTGGCTAATGGTGCCAGCAAATAAACATTTTGGGCTGTGGACAACGTCAGCATTGTTCTCTGCTGAGTCCACCTTCACTGTCTTTCCCACATCCAGGAGAGTTATGGTGTAGAGAATCCCCAAAGAAGCGTCCCACCCAGAGTGATGCATGGGGGTGTGGATCAGTGATGGTTTGGGCTTAATATCATGGCATTCCCTACACCCAATACTTGTGATAGATGGGCGCGTCCCTGCCTACTAAATCATTCTGGAGGACCATGTGCACCCAATGAGTCAAATATTATATTCTGAAAGCGGTGGCGTTTAGCAGAATGATAATGCAACCAAACACACATTAAAAATCTATTTGAAAAGTATTAAAACCACTATGGAACAAACCGTATTAAGGCCTTCAAAATATATTATAACTTATGGTAAGCTAAGTGCATTTACAGATCATACTTTCAGTTTAAAGTTTACACTATGGTTGTAAAAGTCAATTCTAATGCATGTTGTGCAGTGTTTGGAGAGCAGCCCTCAGTGATGTGAATGGCGGACCTGTGAGGAGAGCCCAGGCTGAGGCCTGACATCTGCTTCGGCAGGGCACCGTTGCCGTTGTTGTGGGAATAAAGTCCTGCTGGGTTGTTGTACACTGGTCTGGATCCACCATTGTTGTAAGGCACAGCACCAGTGATTGGGCTCTTGGGCGACGGACTTTTGGGAGTTGGACTGTAGCCACTGCTGATTGGTCGGAAAGTCTGTAAAAAGGAAAAAGAAAAGATGCTAACTTTTTTTATTGTATTGTGACGTAGTTCTTAGAGAAACAGAATAATGAATGAGAAAAACAGTGGGCGTGGCTTGTTTTTCTCTACTGTGAGCTGATTGGATGGGCAAATGGGTTTGGGAGAGTTATTACAACCTAACAGATTCCTCCTGCTCACCACTTCAGTATATTGTCAAAACTGACAGCTGGAAGGGGCGTGGTTCAGTATGTTAGCCCCGCCCAACACCTCAAACAGAAATAATGTAATAATATACCTAAAAAAAAACCAAGGAAGTGCAGTTTTTAGATTTTAATGCTAGATTAGACAAACAATTTTCTTTTTCTTAAAGACACGCGCAGATGAATTGTTCACCACAGAACTAGCAATGTGAGCTAACAAAATCAATATGGTTAGTTTCATGAGTTCACACTCACAGATATTTGACTGAATAAAATATGCGTTATTGGCATGCTGTCCAGGGAGAGGGCTCTGAGCTCGGGAAGACACCCTAACTCGTGTTATTCCCCTAAACAGGATAGAGAGAGATTGGGTCCGAGCGCAGTGTCTAGCCCGGCTCCAGAACACTCCCCCCTCAGATTTAAGTAGGTATTGGGTTTAATAGTGTGGAGTTGGGGTGGTGGAGGGACGCTGAAGTCAAAAGAAAACAGAGGTATGATGTGTTTGACTATTTAGGGGTTTGGTCTGGAGCTGATTGGATAATAGAATGATTGTGATGAATTAGCCTCGTTAAGGATTGTGCTCCTCCTGAAATTTGTTTATAAAACATCACTTTGATTTCATGTGTACTTTCAAGTCGAAACAACAATTCTTAAGGGTTTTTTTGGAGGCAACTTAATTGTTTTATGTTCAACCCTTAAAATTGTAAAAACAATTAGTTAACTCAATCGATTTGTGTTGGGACAACTTGAAGGAGTTGTGTGGAATTTTTTACACAGGCTGTTTGCTAAGTTATCTCATAAGAAACAAACTCGAGAGACTGTGAGAACAGAACGCATCCTGTGAAAAAGGAGATGCTGCGTTTCTGCAATGGTCACATGATCTTCACGCGTTTTTAACAGACAATTATTTAAACATTACAGCATTCATACATCGATTTTTTGTTTTTCCTCTTCACAATTTCTACTATGCATCATGACCTTACAAATATACATTGCACAATACAAATAAAACAAATTTTAATGCAAATTTCAACAAACATAACAACGTAAACAAATGTACAATTAGGTTCCCTCCAAACATCTCCAGAATTGTTTTTAATAAGTCATTTTTACAAGCAAAAATCTTTTTTTGCATATATATTAAAGTGTATTAAAGGTGCCGGTGATCTGCCTAATTTGTATTCGTTAGCATATCTTATAACACAGTCCCTCCCCTGCTGTCCGAAGCCACGCCTGCTGAAATCATGAACGCGCACATTAAAGATGACAGCCACCCGCTAGATCACGTCATTCGCCAGTTGGAAACTTATTAGTGCTTTATAATACTACAATTCCCTATTGAAAAACTATTATATCTAGCATGTTTACAGTTGTCTAGCAAGCAAAACTTGTCATACTGTACAATATTGCATGCATGCAAGGATCTCTGCTCTCACTCTCTCAAAAGCTTTGTCCTAAAGCCACCACTGTAAGATTAGTGGTTGGCCTGCTGTGTGCAGGAATCACACTTATTACTAAGCCATACTTACATGCTATTTCAGACCGGATAGTCAGAGTAGCGGTAAACAATATAGGCAGCGCGTCACAGGCTGTCATTAGCCCCTTTCAGACAGTGATACCAGTAAATATATGGAAAATTTCCGTAACGACTTTACCGGTAGATTAAAAAAAGTGATGTTCATACAGACGAGGACGTCAAGGAATTTTTCCGGAAAAGAGCATTTGCACATCCATTCCACAATACCGGTAAATTCTGACATCATTTACCAGAAATGAGCTCTAAACGGCTGCGCTTGTATTTGTAAAAATTTGACTACATCACAAACTCTGTGGATGATCAGTATTGTGAACAACTCCGATGAAAACAAATAGAGAAACACTTTCGCATGTCGAGATGTACATGATATGTGTGTGTGCTGGCGCTCATGGGCTGTTTCACGGGCACACGCAAAGCTTGAAGGTAAACAAACAACAGCTTATTATAAGCATCTTATCGATAATTATTTACACGGTTGGCATTAAGATGAACATATAAACGTTATCTGACTAACATCTAGCAGCTAAATGTCTGGAAAAATATTCAAAGGCTTTTATTCTCATAAACCGCGCGGAAGTTAACGCATCTGACTGTTCTGATTGGCTAAAGCAGACGTCTCACGTCAGCACGTTCTAGACGTGCACGTTCTTTCCGGCAATCTTCCTTCTGCATTCACACAGCGCAGCATTCCGGCAAATTACCGGTAATCTTACAACTTCTCTTTGCCGGAAAATAGACAGAACGAATTTACCGGTATTTTCAAAAAGGGCCTGTACACACACACATAATTGCCGGTAATTTTCCGGAAAGGTGTGTATGTGTGAAAGGGGCTTTTGTTTAAAAACGACCCAATGTGAAATATAAAACCAACTTCAGCTCAGTAAAGCGGGCTAGGCGGAATAGCGCTATTTACTGATGTTTTGTTGTTAAACTAAATAAAAATCGACATTATCGATGCTGTAAAAGGCCCTTATGAAATTGACTACAATAATGGGTCATTTGTTTACATCACTATAGTTTTTTTGTTACTATAGCAACTGTAGAATCACAACAACAGATTAATTCAAGTTTCTGCTATAGTGTGGGTCAAAAACAACTCTATTATTTACTATTAGATAATTACTATAGTATTTGTTTCATATGGTTCACAACTAAAAATTCCAGGGGATGAAAGAATATCCTGCCTGAACTGTGAAGACTTGTTGGAGTCAAGCACGACCCGTTAAACAGCCTCTGACAGGTTTACAGATCTGACATGCGCTCAATAAACAGCTTACTCAGAAATATGTAAATATTTCCTGTTGCACACAAATTCCCATCATGCATGTTTGCCTCTGGTCAGCTTTGCTTTGATTGAATCTAGCAGCAGCCATTATCTGGCATCAGAGCTTCTTTGCAGCTGGAGTCAGAGTATTTTGTTGTTGTTACTCTTGTTAGTTTGAAAAAGGCCGCGCTGCAGCTAAATTAAGCTCTCACTTCACCTTTCAGTGCTTAATCAGTTCAATTTAAGGGAGTGAAAACCATATTGAGTAATTGGATTAGACTATTGGCATCCTGGTCAAAAAAGATAAAAGAATTCAGGATATAAATGCACTACTATGTCAATCAATACTTGCTTCACAGACATCAGAAATAAATCCACAAAGCTTGAAATCTGTACTTTTAAATGAACCGAGTGCACTTAAAAAACAGAGGTCCGTTGGTTTTGTAATTTCTAAGAAACGAATGCGACGTCTAGTTCGTCCTGTCAAACGCACATCACATGACAGCAGCAACTACTCAAACCCCCACAGGCTTGTAAACAGAGTCACTGTCATTTCTGGAGAAGATTAACAATCTAGATCAAGTTGTGAATCACTTTAGAAGACCAGCGTGACCTGGGCCCGGTTTTTCAAAAGGTGTAATCCGGATAAAATTGATCCGGATTTAGTAATCCTGTTTTTGCGATCCGTGATCGCGTAATCCACCTTACTTTTTGAGCCAGTTTTTCAAAGCAACATTGGATTGGATCAATCTGATCCGGATAGGAACTTTTCAGGATCACTAAATCTGTATTACCAGTGCTCAATCACAATGTAGATGGATAGATAGGCCTGTGTAAAGAGCAACAAGTAGAATAGCCAGTGTGGGGTCAATATAACTTTTATTCTTATTTGAAATGAAAACTAAGAAAATTTAATAAATAATAAAATAATTATAATAATAAATATTAAAAGCAAGAAAAAACCCACCTCATCCTCTTCCAGCAGTCCGCTCATCTGAGATCTACAGCACTGTACATTGAGGATATTCATAATACATTTTAAATATAGATGTATTGAATAAAAAAGACAATGTTTAAACCTCCACAATAATGTCAGACTTCCTTATCTGATGTGGAGGGAGCAGCTTGTCTGAGCGTATTCTTTTGGAGGCAGATCTCAAGTGTGGTCTTGGTTTGCTGCAGTTTGGTCAGAGTCAGTTGTTCCTTTGCCAGATTTTGCAATTGTTGAAAGTGATTTAAAAAATCAGGCATTGCCATTCTTTGCATTTTTTTGTTATTCTGTAATCTTTGCATGCATCACTAATAAATATTCTAAACACAAAAATATTTTCCATTGTGATATATATATATATATATATATATATATATATATATATATATATATATATATATATATATATCAATTAGTAACAGAATAAATTGTAATTGTATGTGTATATATATATATATATATATATATATATATATATATATATATATATATATATATATATATATATATATATATATATATATATATATATATATATCAATTAGTAACAGAATAAATTGTAATTGTATGTGTGTATATATATATATATATATATATATATATATATCAATTAGTAACAGAATAAATTGTAATTGTATGTGTATATATATATATATATATATATATATATATATATCAGTTAGTAACAGAATAAATTGTATTGGTATTGGTAAATTTTGACAGCTGTTTGGGGGGTTATTTTATGAGGCCAAACTCTTTCTATTTTGCTGTAGGCCTATACTGAAAGGCTGAATACGTTAAAGCCTATACTCACTATAGCCTGACAGATGAACAAATAAAATTAAAACCTTATGAATAAATAGTATATCTCGTAAAATACTGCATGATCCAAATATAGTTTTATTTAATATTTTTTTAAAGTTTTCATTACATTTTGGGCATGAAATCCACGCTAAATCCACCCTTCTGATGGGATCAGTTTAATCCAGGTTTTTTGGATCAAAGTGACCCAAATCCTACAAA